GAAATGGATGGGTTCTGTAGCATTTTGCAATGCTAGGGCACAGCAGTTTGTATTTTAAGTTAGGAACTGGCTTGCTGGAGACAAACCCAATGTGCTTTTTACAGTAACAGAGATTATTTAAACATTTTACAGGGTCAAGTACAAACATGCTTTTTAAATCAAAGAATACTGATTCCTTCATAACATATTACTAATTTTATAGTTATATGATTACACATATCAAATTACTTTTGTCAGATTAGACAAATCATTGAGGTGTGACAAAGATGACAATCTTGCCACTTCTGTGACTGCCACGAACCAGGAAGACTGTTCAGCTGAAGTGAGACAATGATCCAAACTACTCCAAAAACGAGACCCTCATTCCACAGAGCTCTAATTGCCTCCAAAGGAAACTGCTTGCTTGAGAAGCTTATTGAATCACGACCATAAACAGTGTCATTACTACTCAGTCCTAGCTGGGCTCAGCCCTGTTTGTTCGCTTCCCTCATGCCTCACACTACAGGTGCTTTTATGAACAAAATATTTTACTTTCACCAAATAAAAAAACCTTAATAAGCCGTTAGGAATATCCTTCTGACAAAGTGTGAGAGCTGAGTACTTCTAATTCAGACAAATCAGAAAAGAAGGGAAGCAGCCTCCCTGAAGAGAATGTCACTATATTTGGCACACAGTGATCACCATTTTTCTTCAAGCTCCCCATTTCCTGCCAGGTGGATTCCCAGAGGAGAGGACATACCTTCTCCCAGGCATGACACTGCTAGCAGAAGATCTTATTAAAGGTTTTCTAAGAGGGGAATGCTGATAGCTTTGCTCTTCACTGCTTTGCCTTCCTTCATCTTCACCTGCTTTCTTCTCCTTGGATGAAAATTCTCTTTTTGCTGGACCTGAAATGACACATAAATATGAAACCAGGTACCTGCCAAGTAGTTTAAGCAACAGCTCTTTCTTGACCCCATGCAGGTGGTGATGACAACTAACACTCCCAGTTTTGTACATGCATGCAAAACTTCCACAACAACTTACACTAGGAGCTGTACCAAGTTTCCACCAATTGCTATCAAGGTCATTGTTCTACAAAGAGTAAGTATTTTTCAAGACAGTATCACTTAACAATAACTGTAATTAGCAGTAAATGAAGTCTAATCCTCAACTGAATCACAGTTCTCTCAGGTTTGCGATATAATCCACAAGTCATAACTCCCTATGGGATACAAAATCCATTTCACCTGAGTAAATCACAATTCCGAGTGCTCCTACTGAAATATTTATTTCACATATCGAAGCTTAGACTCAGATTGGCATGAATTAACACTTGCAGGAAAGAATTTCTTCTTCCAGAGACAATGTTTCACCAGATGGATTTCTTGAGCCCTCCAAGAACAGTTATTTTGGAATGCTGCCACAGACATAACAGCATGATAAAATTACACTGGCAAAAAGGCAGCCCTAGAGCTGCTGCTTCAAGATGTTAATTCTCAGGGAGACAACTCAGCAGCTATTTATTTTCTGGAAGGCAAGGCTGTGGTTGGTCAAAACTGAGGTGAACCATCCATGCGCTGGCAGCTGAAGAGCACCCACAGGCTAGGATCTCACAGGCACAAACACTGCACTCGTGGAGCTAAAGAAAGGGAAGCACTTGGCATTATAAGTATTCCCCTGGGGACTGAACAATCTCCTCTTGCCCTAGTATCAAGCAGGGTCTGGAATCCAGGTTTCCCACTTCTAAACTCTGTAGGTTGCTCTCTTTTTTTTGGCTCAAACAGTGTCTAACTATTGATGCACAGGAATAGCAACCTCAGCAGACACTGCAGAGATTCTCAGGACACTTTCCTTAGGTTGGTTCTCAGAACCTTTTCCTGAAACCTGAAGTTCACACCCCAGTCCATGATCTTGAGGCAGGCAGCAAGGCATTTCAGACTGGGTTTTCTTATATCCCCGAAGAACACCCTACTTCTGGACACAAGCACAAAGATGAACATCACCATATTGCTATTGTATATTGCATTAAGGATTCAACCACGATATCGCCTACTAAGAGATAATTTAGGTATCATCCTCAGCACATCAGGGAAAAAAAGAGCAGCTGGCACGCTATTTATAAATATCATTCAGTAGTCTGGAAACACAGACTTACTTGTTTTCTTCTTTTGCCAAAATGTTACTATGTCTTTGTGCAAGTCTTTAGCTTTTTTTCTGGCCAGAACCGCAGAGGCCTGAAAGGAAACAAAAGAAGAGCATGGAAACCTATTGGCATCACAACACTGAAACACACAGTGCAGTTTTTGCCAGAGAAACATTTACTGATCCCCAAAAAATTCTGGTTGCTGCATTGTATGTATAACTTAAGACCTACATGCCATCAGCTAAACTGGTCTCCACAAAAAACTGTTGCTTTTCTACAAACAAGAGTGTAGTTTGCATTACTGCTGAACCCACCCCAAGCACCCAGATTTAAGTCTTTCTTCATAGAATCAGAGACTGGTTTGGGTTGGAAGGGACCATTCAGCTACACCCCCCTGCCTTGAGCCGAGACACCTTCCACTAGACCAGGCTGTTCCAAGCCCCATCCAACCTGACCTCGGACATTTCCAGGGATGGGGCAGCCACACCTTCTCGGAGCAACCTGCGCCAGCGCCTAATCACCTTCAAACAATTTCTTCCTAACATCTCTTTTAGTTTACACTGTTTCCCCTTGTCCTCTTCCAGTCTGTCCCTGTAAAAAGTTGCTTTCCCTCTATTGTAAGCCCCCTTTAGACACTGGAAGGGGCTCTAAGGTTTCCCTGGAGACCTCTCCAGGCTGAAAACTTCCAAGAGTTATGCCACTTCTGATACTCACATGATCAAAAAAGTGGAGAACAGCCATTTTTTTATTGCGCCTGGTCATGATCCGGCGAACTTTTGCGAACTGGCCAAAGTGTTTTTCCAGCACAGTCCTGTCGTTGAGGTAGTCAGGGATGTTCTTGCACTGGACAGCCGTCAGCTCGGCGGCTGGCAGGCCCCCCGGCCCCTCCGTGCTCTCGCTGCCGCGGCTCCGGCGAGCAGGGGCGGTGGGGGCCGCATCTGTGACGAGAAGGAACACAGCAGTCAGCAAGCGGAAAGACACCCGGGCGGCAGGGCTGCCCCCCACCAGACTCCCGCCCACCTTCTCGGGCGGGCTCCCGGGCCTCGGCCGGCGGCGGCTCCTCGGCGGGTCCCCGCTCGGCCTCGGGGCCGTCCCCGCGCTCCCGCTGCTCGCGAGCCTGGCTGCGCAGCAGATCCTCCAGCGTGCGGCCGAACAGGATCCCGCCGCGGGGCCGGCTCAGCATCACCGGCCGCTTCTCTGGCGGCGCCGCAGCCCGCCCGCCCGCCGCCGCCCGCCGCGGCGAGCGCTCCCGCTCCTCCTTCCGCTTCAGCCCCTTGGACGGCGGCTCCCCCGGATCCTCCGGCAGCACCCTCAGACCTCTCTCTTCCGGCCGCCCCAAAGCGGTGGCAGGACGTGAGAACGAGAAAGGTTCCCGCGCCACCGCCGCCTCGGGGCCCGTCTCAGATGCGAAGGCGAAGGACGACGAGAAAGCAAAGGCGGCGGGGGCAGCCGGGCCCTTCTCCGCCTCGCCGCCTGACAGCGGCTTGAAGGCGGCGGCGCTTTCGGGCGCCTTGAAGCGGAACTCGGGAGCGGCGAATACACCGCCGCCGCCAGCCGACGCTTCGCTGGAGGTCGGGAAGCCGCCCAGGCTGGTGGGCGGCCTGAAGCTGAATCCTGCGTTCCCCGCCGGGGCCGGAGCCTGGCCCAGCGCGTAGGGCGGCGCGAAGGTGGCGGCGGGCGCAAAGGGGAGGCCGGCGGGGCCGCCGCCCTGGCCGAACACGGCGGGCTGCCCGAAGCGCAGCGGCGGCGGGAAGGAGGGTGGGCTGCGGAACGGGCCCCGCGCCGACATCGCTGCGGAGGCGGCCTCGGACCGCCGAACGAAGCGGAACCCGCATGCGCGGTGGGGAGAGGCCCTATCCATGGGGGGGAGGACGGAGTGCCGTGGAAAAGTAGGCGGGGCTACGGCGGCAGTAGAACAGTAGGGGCGGGGAGACAGGTGGGAGCAGCGTTGTGGCGTGCCTGTGGGCGTGGTCTAGGTGGGCGGGGATTCCGTTGGGCGGGCATATTAACGGATGGACAGAAGGGTGGGTGGCGTTTCTGATAGGGCGTGGTCTCCAGGACGGAGCCTCTTTGCGGTGGGCGGGGGCTCCAGGACGGAGCCTCTTTGCGGTGGGCGGCGGCCGGCGGCCATGCCATGAGCGTGGCGCTGCGAAACGCGCAGCGCGCCGTGCCCGTGCGCCGGGCCCCGCTTCGCCGCGCCGTGTGCGCCTTGCGCGCCGCCCTGGGCGCCTCCCGCTTCGACGTAGGGCTAGTCTGCGCCAGCAACGCGTTGATGCAGCGACTGAACGGCGTCTACCGACACTGCCCGGAGCCCACCGACGTCCTCTCTTTCCCGTTCCACCAAGTGGAACCGGGGGAGTTGCCGCGGCCGTGCTGCCGCGGCGAGTACAACCTGGGGGACATCTTCCTGGGGGTAGAATACATCCACCAGCAGTGCCGCGAAACCGGGGAGGATTTTGATGATGTCCTGACGGTGAGCCCCGCTCGGGCCTGGCGGGCGGTGGGGCGGACACGGGTCTCGGTCAGTAACACGTGTTGTGCTCCCCGCGCAGGTGACAGCTGCCCACGGATTGTGCCACCTGCTCGGCTACCGGCACGACACGAAACCCGAGTGGGAGCAGGTGCGGGACGCGCTGGGGCCGGGGAGGGTGTGCGAGGTCCAGCATGGGGTGGACCGGAGGCCCCGGTGATGGGAACCGGGATTCCGCCGGTGCTGACCGCCGCTGCTCCCGCAGATGTACCAGAAGGAAGTGGAAATCCTGAAGGAGCTGAATCGCCTGACAGGCTCCCGCCTGCGGCCCCTCACCGCCGGCCTCTTCTGAGAGACTGAGAGGGGCTGGGGCTCCGCCGGCGCCGCCCCGGACGTGGCGCGGGGATGGCGGCGCAGGGGCCTGGCGGCCGCTGTGCCCCGGCTCTGCTGCTCCTTGGCCTGGCCGCGCTCGCCCTGCCGCCGCCCCGAGCCGCCGCCTCCGAGCCGCCTCCCGTCGCCCTCCGCGCTGGCCACGCCGCCTCCTCGCTGCCCGCCGCCGCTGCCGCTTCGCGTACCAGGTGAGCAGCGGCGGCCCCGCCGCGTCTGACCCCTGGCCGGTCCTGCCCCCCGAGATCTCCCCCGCTGTGCGGCGTCTCGGCCATCAGCTGGTAAAGGGCCTGCTTCGCCTACTGGTGCATTTTTGGGTCGTTTTAGGAAGGTGTCATCGCAGCTGTCTGAGGGCTTTTGTCTGTAGAATATCCTGAGTTGTAACAGACCCCACAGGGATCATCCAGCTCCCAGATGCATTCTTTTCCTCCGCTTCTCCGGAGCGCGTCCTCCCGCCTTTGTATCCAGCTTACAAGAGTTAGCCTGGGTTACATGTCCGTGGTTTCACCATTTTCACCATGTACCCCACGTTACCTTCAGGGTGAGCAAGACTCTTCACTCCTTGACCCGCTGCAGGAAAGGCTCCTAGCATGTGTCACCTCAGCAGGAGACCCTAGTGGCCCCTCCAGCCCCTGCAGCACACGCTGCTCTGACTTCCCATACTACTTCCCCTTCTGAGTACCACAAACTCAAAAAGAGGAGCAGCTTTCTTCCCAACAGTTTCATCACAGGATTGTAGGGTAAAAAAGAAAAACAAGTAATAGCCTCAATGTGCTCCCAGAGAAATGGTATTCCTTTGTTCTCCCCAGATACCTGTTGTATGATGTAAACCCCCCTGAAGGGTTCAACCTTCGCAGAGATGTCTACATTCGCATTGCTTCCCTTCTAAAGACCCTGCGGAAAAGTGAAAACTGGGTGTTGGTTCTGCCTCCCTGGGGACGTCTTTATCACTGGCAGAGCCCTGATATCCTCCAGGTCAGGATCGCTTGGTCCGAGTTCTTTGATATCCCAAGCCTCAACAGGAACATCCCTGTCATTGAATATGAGCAGTTCCTTGCAGGTAGGGTATAGGATCATACAATCTACAATTAATTAAATATTTGATATGGCTTCCTAAGAGGTTTTCCTTGTAGGGGCTTTTATCCTTTTATGTGAAATAATCACAGAGTGGCAAGAGGAGTGACGGGAAGGCACTTTGCTGAGCTACACAACCACTAGGATGGAATAGCCCAATTACTTGGCAGCTTGTTTGATGTAGCACTGCTGCCCCCTTGACTTCTGGGACCCCCAAAGATAGACAACTAATGCCTTTGGTTAAATTTACCTGTGGTATTTCTGTGTGGTTTTGACCATAAGACCATAAGGAGAGAGGCAGCTTGTTGAAATACAGACAAGCCACTTTTTTCCTGGATATGGTGGTTGGACAGTAAAAGTTGTGAAGCAGGTTCTTCCCTGAACTTACTTTTTCATCGTTGATATTGCACATACTTGAAATATCCCCTGTTTTTTGTGTCTAAGAGAAAGGCTTTCCATAAGAAAGTGAAGTTGGTTCCTTTAGGATTTAATGCCACATTATGCTAATCACCAAATGTTCAGTTTTTGAGCACTGCACACTGGCATGTTCAGCAGAGGAAATAAAGGCCACCAAATGTAACACCTCTGCAAAGAGGTCTGAAGGGAAAGCTGTTCCCTGCCTTCCAAGAAAATGCTTGTAGAGACCCTGAACTTTAGGAGAAGGGCTTGTACTTGGCATTTTTCTTGGAGGCACTCCTCCTGTGGCAGCTGCTTACAGCACTGAAAACCTGTGTGCTTTATAGTATGTTTTACCCAGATGACAGTGATTCTGTTGCATTTAGCACGTTAAATCACACAGAGCTGGGTGAGATAGCATGTGATCACATTGCCTGACCCTTTTAGCCTTTCTCACTCTCAAAGAACTTCCTTTCCTTCTTTATAGGGAAAATGGGGAAGAGAGAGTAGTGTAATATTAGCATTTGTAGTTGTAGCATATTTTTAACTGCAACCGATGCTTGTTCATACCTTTACGGTATGGGTTTTAATGCTTACAAATCCTTTGCTTTGCCTTCCGTTCAGAGTCAGGTGGGCCCTTCATTGAACAGGTTTATGTGCTACAAGGCTACGCAGAGGGATGGAAAGAAGGAACATGGGAAGAAAAAATAGATGAAAAACCATGCATTGATCAGCTGATGTACTCCAAAGACAAACATGGCTACTACAGGTAACATCCAGCGTTCCTTCTGGTGTTTTCAGTTGTATTCAGAGAGATATTTGCCTGCTATAGATATCTGGGTTCTTGGAGTTCACTTTGTTTTTAAAAAAGCCTATGAATAGTAAAACATTGTATTGGTATGAGAAGATCTGATTCTATAAAGTTGCTGCTACACAGAAAAGCAGCATAAAGGAGCTGGCTGGTTTATTTGTATCATATGTAGTTTTTTAGGATGTTTTGTCCTATAGATGGCATTAATTTAAAATACAAGCCTGTGAACCAATCCTTTGTGTTCCCTTTTAGGGGCTGGTTCTGGGGTTACGAGGAAACACGAGGCCTAAACGCCTCTTGCTTGTCTGTCCAAGGATCAGCCTCTATTGTGGCTCCCATCCTTCTGAAGAACACTTCAGCACAGTGAGTTACCTTGTGTAACTATTTATTGTTGTGTTATTGTCCTACAACCCCATTGCTAGGTGGGAAGAGCAGGGGGAATTTAAAGGGTTGTCCACTGTTGAGATACTTCATCACTGAATTATTGTATTCTGTTAAAATAATTACAAAAGAGATTTACAGTGCAAGAAACACTTAACAGTAAGTTTCGTTAAAGATTGCGGTGCTAAAACCTAAGAGCAAATAGCCTTGAGCTCCTTTATATTCCCTGTCAGGCAGTTTCTGTGACTCATACCTCCAAGGTATCATCAAATATCCCTGGATCGTGCAGTGGAAGAGATGCTGAACTATCAGCTGTTCCATGTTGTACTCCACAGCACATGTGATTTTACGTCTCTGGCACATTCCCCCTCAGCAGTCTCCTGTGCAGTGGGAAGTCCTGGCTCCATTAGTTGTTCTCCATGTGAAAGCCATTCCATGCCTTTGATTGTCACCACTGCCAATCTCCGAACCTTATTGAATCAGTTCAGCAGGATCCTGCACACTGAGTGTGGGTAAACCTGTTACATTGCAGTACAAATTACATGTTCTTTCAAGAGCTCTCTTCTTTTTCTGCTAATTCTTGAGACACAGGTTCCTTGTTTTGACCTCTGAGTGTTGCCGTGATATTTGCATCAAACTGTCCTCATTCCTGACCATCAACACCTTCAGTTATTACATGAAGCCAGGTTTTGATGGTTTTTTTAGTATGCTCGCTCCTATGTTAGAATTCATCTGCCACTTCGTTGGCCAGTGATCAGACTTCTCTAATTCTTCATAGCTGGCCTTAGCTGCTCTGAGGATTTTAAAATAATTAAGCTGTGTCACCTAATTTCATGCCCTTCTGTAGGTTTTTAGGAATATGGTGAAGAGACCTTCCACTTGTGAACCCCCCCCCCCCCCCCCCCCCCCCCCCCCCCCCCGCAATGTGAACCATGCATGCATTTATCCCTGTCTCTAAACTTTTTTTTTCTTTAATTCATGCAAGAACCTTTCTGTGCCAAGTTTTCTTAAAAGCCTTTAATGAAGGCTGTCAGGAAATCTTGTTAGGCAGTGTCAGTGAGCTGTCCCTTATCTTCATGTGTGGCAGTGTCTTCAAACTACTGTGATTGTTCAGAACTCTCATCTCCCATATTGCCCTTCTGGCTGGACAACCAGTTGTGTGGCCCTAGCACTGGATTTTGACCCCTCAAGTATGGTCACTTCAAGGAAACTTCTCAATGCATTTTGATTAGTAACCTCAATCACCTCCAATCATCCTGTTAGATGTAGTGCTGCTTCTTCACCAGCACAGTCTAGTCTGTTTACAGGTGATTTAGGACCTTCAATGCAGGTGTCCAGCTGATGATCAACGGAGCTAATCCAAAGTTGATTAGTTATTTGCTTCCTCTCTTTTTAGTAGAAGGAGATGCAGATAATGACCTTGATCCCTTTTAGCAGAAGCATTTCTCTGTGTGTTTTCTTATCAGTGTGCTCACAAACTAAATTTGCATCTCTTATGCTCTGGAATACTTGAAGCTCTCAAAATCTCTTCTGCTTCTTAGAACTTTGATGGTGCTAAGTTTTTATGTTTCCAGTACACAATCCTGAGCTGTGTTTATTTGTGAGAAGGGCAAGCTGCTGTCTACTACCACACATTCTGGTAATGTCTCTTGTGTTCTTTGATCTGTTGTTTTACTGTAGGACATTTTATTTTACATGTGGAAAACACCTTCTCTGGGTTTGTTTTCATGATCTTCTGCTTGCTCCCAGAGGCTGTCGTGTGCTCTGAGGCTAAGCATTATCACACAGGTCACTTGTCCCTTTTGGATCACTCTCCCTGTTAGAAATCTAATTTCTCCTATAGCAACTATTACAAAGACTGTGAGGGGTGATTAAATGCTTGTTATTTTTTAACTTTCAGAGTCAGGATATAATTTATTATGGAAGAGAGCAGGCACATGGTTCCCTTCTCTCTCTAGCAGACTGTGAGTCACAATTTGCCTTGTAGAGAACTAGAATTTGCCTCATAGGAGCCTCATTCCCTCATTTCCAGGAGCCTGTCCCTCATTCCCCACGTTCCCTTAGCAAACAGACTGTAGTCTGTGCTTTATCCTAGCAAATGTGTAAAGAAACGTCATAATGTAAGTTCTATTCCTAAGGGAATTGCACTCAGTTTTACAATTTTCACTAGGTCAGTGATGTTAGACAGAGCTGAAAACCTTCTTCATGACCACTACGGAGGGAAAGATTATTGGAATGTGAGTATTTTACAGATAGCTTCTCTAGACTTTTTCCTTGGCTCTGCTAAAAATTCAGTAACCAATGTGTGCTTCAGTTTTGCCTCAGGTTTCTTGTCTTGAAAGTCACTTGTGTCTTCTGTTTCAGCAATGTGTGCTAACACGGTTTTCAGGCCGCTGTGGATCAGTGTGACACAGGATTTTGCCCTGCTGTCTTGTGCCTAAAGGCCCAGTGCTGCAGGTCATGGTGATTAAAAGGATCTCCCCTGTATAACACATCTACAATAAGAAGGGAGCAGTTTCTTATCTAGTCAACCTCAAGATTAGTATTTTCAAAAGAATTCCGTAAAGTGCTCATTATTGTCCCAAATCCCTCCCCATTGGCTTCAAAGGCAAAATTCCTATGGGTTTCAGGGCAGAGGTCTATGGTAAAATAATTCCTGTCATAAAAGTTTGAAGAAAACGTTAAGGTTCAGACACAGCAAAATGGAACATGCTATGGAGTGCTTGATATAGTTGAAATTCCTAAGAAAAATTGACTGTCATGATATGGCAAAACAAATTACACGGACCTCAGTCTTGTAGACATCTGGCTATTCACTTGAGATATGGCATGTTTTCAGAAGTGGACCAAACACTAGTTTGCTAGCCTTGAATTATTCATTGAGAGTGGCCTCTCAAAGAAAGAAATGCAGCCCAGGTACCATATTTGAGTATGACTTCTCCTGTAAAAGCAGACATGAAATCCACATGGCTCCATAGCGCACATTTCTTACCAGTAGCACTTTAAATGTTGCCCCAGTGGTTTTGCCTGATGTCTAAACAAAAATTTAGTCACTGCAGCATGGGCCCAGGGCCTCTTCTCTTTTTTCCATGTTCCTCTGAGAGGCATCTCTCCCTTCTTTGTTTCTTTGCAGACAAAAAGGAAAAACTTGGGATTTCCTTAATTCTTTTGCCTGTTAATAAAAAGGCTGCTTGTGCCTGTGTGCAGTGGTAACTGCATCACAGCATCTTAGAGATTACTACTCACAGGTTAAGGAAATAATTCCTTTTTTGTCATTTTTCCACTGAATTTCATAGGCGTGTCTGTGGCTAGATGCATAATATTTTTAAAGCAGCTTTTATTCTTAAAGCACACTGAAGTGTTTTTACACACTTTTAGCACACTAAAGTGTTTGCCCAGCTTCTGTTTCCAGAAGTGAGGTATATTGCTAGGGTGTTTAATTTGGTGTATCATGTGTTATGTTGTGTAAATAACTGCAGTGTCCTCCCTATATATAATATACTTGTGTATTGCAGGGGCAGGTGAGTATGCTGGTTATAAATGTGATGATAATTAGAAATAAACTATATAAGCTTGGATAAAATTGTTGCTTAGAGTACTGCATAGATGTACCAGAAGTAACTGCATTTTGGAAGTGCTGTGTATATGAAACTGTCTCCACCTACTCATTTTTAGCTCTCCTTTTTCTGACTCAGTGACTGCTCTTATTCCAACAGACCCGTCGGAGCATGGTGTTTGCTAAACACCTCCGTGTGGTGGGAGACAGGTTCAGGAATAAATACCTTCAATCTACTGATGAGGCAGACAGGACTCAGTACAAGGAGGACTGGACACAGATGAAGGTAAAATCCTTAACAGTCTGTTTCCCATAACAGATATTTTATTTGTGCGTTCCTGGCTGTGTGCTGCAGGGCACAGTGGAAGGTACACATGAGCGAAACACTTCTGCTCACATCGAGGTGGACACGCATGTTCCTCATGCACCTTTTCCCTGTGTGACACAAGCTAGCAGAGTCTGTCGAGGTGTGCTTGACTGGTTCTGAGGGCCATATCTTTGTTGCTCTCATTTCAGTAAAGGAAACTTGATTTTCTTCCTGTTTTCAGCATTATGTGTGGGTGTAAAGTTCAGCTGCCACCTGCCAGTTGAGGATTTATTTGGTCAAGGAGAGGAAGTTTTGCTTACAAAGATTTGGCACTCCAGTTTCTCTTGCATGATGGTGGCCACCCAAGATGTAAATGTTGCAACAAATGTCCCAAGCTACTTCCAGTCCCTACTTAAAAATTTCTCTCTGCAACTAGAGAGATTCTGTGTCTTATCCAGAGATTATGCATTCTGGCTTTTCAGTGTGAACAATGATGCTCTCAAGTTTTAAAGTTTTGATCTTTCTCTCATAGATTAAGACGGGCACAGCTCTAGGTGGGCCATACCTTGGGGTTCATCTCAGAAGGAGAGACTTCGTTTGGGGTCACAGAGAAGACGTGCCTTCCCTACAAGGAGCAGTAAAGAAAATCCACAGCCTCTTGGAGACGCTTAAACTTAAAAAAGTTTTTGTAGCCACTGATGCTGTTGAGGAAGGTAGGCAGATCATGGTCACTTCAGGATTGGAAAATTCTGAGGAGTGCAGCAATTACCACTGACTACCCTCCCTCCCTGCAATGCTGTGAATTTTGGCAACTGAATTGTAAAACTTGTTGGCAGATTTTGGTGTCACTTGTTCTGTAACTGTTAACCCAGGGTTTCCTTAAACAAACACAATGTGTGACAGCAGCGAGTTGCTGTTCATAATGTAGAGATGAATTCATATCCTTCCTTTTTTAAGAGATTGAAGTGCTCAAGAAACTGCTGCCTGAGATGGTGAGGTTTGAACCCTCTCTGGAGGAGCTGGAACTCTATAAGGATGGGGGCTTAGCTGTGATTGACCAGTGGATTTGTGCACATGCAAGGTAGCAAACCTGACTTTTTATTCAGCCAAAGCTTATTATTCAGCACTGTTGCAAAACTGAATATGATTTTTGTCCCAAGGTTGTTTACAAACAGTGTAAGACATTATATAACCAATTATAAAATTGAGATGTGTGTAGTAGATGTATAATGGTTATATTTTGTGTGTATGTATGATAATTTTATTATCATATCATTTCACTGAACAGTGAAGTTCATTGGACTAAAATCTAATTACTTGCATTTTAAAAACTTGCCCCCCCCCTCACAAACCCTTTTTGATTTTTTTTTTTCCACAGGTATTTTATAGGCACCTCAGTTTCAACATTTTCCTTCCGAATCCATGAGGAAAGGGAGATCTTGGGATTTGATCCAAAAACAACTTACAACCGATTTTGTGGTGAAACAGAGAAAAACTGTGAGCAGCCAGCTCACTGGAAAATTGTATATTAAACACAGAGAAACACAAAGGTTTTGCTAGAGTTCAAAATTATAAGGAAAAATCATGGGGAATTACTTGTCTTGGAACGAAGTATGAGCAGTCCTGTACTCTCAGTTCCCGCTCTCCTTCCAGCGTGGGTATGACATGGCATAGCTGTACTGCTCAGTGTCTCTGGATCTCACAGGACTTCTGTGTGGCTGCTGCACCTGGGTCCCCCAGTATGTCCTGCTCTTGCTGCCATGTGGTCCCATGTGTACCAAATGGGTTGCTACAGACCACAGGGGCCTCTTGGCTGCAGAGCTGTGATGGGAAGCGGCAAAACAATGCCCAGGGTGCAAGCCAGCCTCGCCTGCTGGAGCATTTCTTACCTGTCCATGGTTTTCTCTGTGAGTCTGTGGTCATTTTTTTAACTGCAGGGCTCGGGGTCCTAGCCATGTCACCAGGAGTGCTTACCCTGGGAGCACCACTAGTCTCTACCCAGGGAGGGACCAAGCTGCCGCTAGAATAAAAGCAGGGAGAGGTGCTCCCGCTCTAAGGGCCTGCAAGGCCCATCCCTTGGGGACTCATCTTTCATGTGAAGGCACATTGCCTAGTGGAGAAACAGGCTGATACCTGGTGGAGCAGGGCCAAGATTCCATTTTCCTGAGGCAGCTCTCTCCTCTGCCTGCCACAGCACTGGCCAGGGGAAGGTGGGTGTATTCAGCATTGTACCTGGAAGGGGGGCAGTGCTGGTGGCCCTCTCAGGAGGGTCCTGATTGCTTCAGGGCTTGCTTTTCCACTGGTTTGTGTCCACAAAGGAAAGACACGTGGAAGGCAAAACACAGCCCTGTACTCAGCAGTCCATCAGCCTTCCCCACAGGGAAGGTGGTTAAACCCTTCAACTATTCTGCAAAACTCTGCACCACTGCAGATCTGCTGGAGAACAGCAGTTTGTCCACAGGGGCCCTCTGACACATGTTGCCTGTTAGGTGTCTGGAGGAATCCAAGTGCTTATTTTGTGTCTCTACAAGTGTGGCCAAAGCCACACACAGAGCAATAACAAATTCTCACACTGTAACAATAGAAACAAACATTTAATAATATTATTTCTTAGATAGCTGTTGGGGATAAAATCCAATGCAAAGAAAAAATCTAAATATAAAAAATCCAGCTGCTGGTGCACACTGATACAGTGTTTCTGCTTTTGAGCTCAGTAGGTGTTTTTTTTCTTTCCTCCTTTCCTTCTTGTGTGAGCTCCCTTTAATTTCATTACATTTCCGTTTTTGTCATCTGTTTTTAGCTAAACCATACTGGTGGTGTCAGTCATACAGTGCCCAGGATTTGTCTCATAAATCAGCCGTGCTGCTCAGGCCTCAGCACATCAGGGTGCAGCCCCTGGTGCTGGTGTTCCCAATTGCGGCAAAGTTTCAGGCAAGTGTTTAAGTGTCCCATTGCTGTTGGCTGATGTCCAGCAGTGCCCCTTCATCACTATTAAGAGTCCCTTTCTGGTGGCCCAGGTTAGCCTAAGCTTCTAACACTCTAAATTAATGGGACTGGGGATTCCAGCATGCACCACAGAGGTTTTTTCAGGGAAATCCCTTGAGCCCCAAATCCATGTCAGTCCAAAGCAAAAATCCCTGGGAGCTGACGGCAACAGGATGCTTCTTGAGAATTTTGAAGTATTCAATGGGTGCTAAATGTTAGGTTTGAATGAATGCCGATTGTCCAGGATTGTGTGTTTGGAGTTGCTGGTTTAGAGATGGCCGGGTCTGGATTTGGATTTGTAGGCACAGAGTGTTCTTTGTGTCACGTTTAGGTTTGGATTTGTGGGACTTGTTGGAGAAAAGAAGGAAATGGAAATGCACAGCTCTGTTCTTGGAGAAATTATTAGGGTGGGAGAAAAGAGGGTGTGGAACTGCTGGGAGCTCCTGGAGTGAGGGAGAGGATCCAAGGATGGGAAACAAAAGCTGTGGAACAAAGCCCAAAAAGGGGGCAGGGCAGCGGGGACACCATGGGGAAAACAGGGAAAGAATCCCTGCTCCAGGAACCCAGCAGGGGCCAGAGGAGGATAATTTTCCATCCATTGGCTCTTGGTGGAATCCTAATAATAAGCATCAAAGAAAATGATTAATTTGTTACTAGGTTGGGAATGAAAGGTGCTCTTCCAGAGGGGAATTGTAACACCTGTTAAAATTCTGTTGGATAAAGGAAGAGAGGGAGGAAGTAGCTGGGGAATGAACAGGTGGCTTTTTGGTGGATACAGGGAAAGACATAGGAAGGGGCTTTTAGATAAAACACACCTTACGGGTGCCATCAGCAAAAGCCAAAACTGCCCTGTTTTCCAAGCTCTGACATTCCAGAGGAGTAAACAGTGGTTAGCACATCTATTTCTATGTTCCTTTTATGCCCAGTGCTTTGTTGGGAAGAGATAATATTAGGAAATGAACAAATCCAGGGGTGTAATTCCTGATAGTAAAGTCCTGCAGGCCCAGGTTTTCATATTCTTCCAGCACCCACATGCAACAGAGGGGATCCTGGAGGAAGTGGAAAATGCTGTCACTCCATTCATGGAACTCCTGGGACATTGAAAGCAGCAGAAGCAGTAAGAACAGAGTTGGAACCAGACTCCAGCTGGGTAAGGCAGACACCAGATCCTTTGGAATTAGAACTGAGCAGGGGTGAGAAGAATTAATTGCTAAATTTGTACCCCTGTGGATTCCTGAGCAGGGAAGACTGGAGGGATACTCCACGAGAAAGTCCAAACTGGGGGCTGTTGCCAGGTGGGAGCAGCAAGCCTTGGACTTGCCTGAAGGGAAGAAAAAGGGATCTTTTCAGCACAAGGATCAGCTGTCAAATGTGGTGATGTTGTCAGACCATTCCTCAGGAGTGTTTAGTTCCCAAGCCAAGTCAGTCTCCTGCCTTGTGAAGCTCAGAAATCTCAGAAGAACCCAACTGACACAGGGAATGGACTGGCAGATAAAACTTCTGGGGAATGGTAGGGAAAATCATCCTAACAGAGGGCCTCCTTTTGTACAGGAATGGTGCAAAAATCATCCAAAAAATAGGAGTCAAGTGGGATTTACAAATTCCTTGGAGACCACAATCCAGTGGGAAGGCTGAGAGAAGGAAACAAAGCCTGCAAATGAGCCAGATCTGCCAAAAACTTGAAATGGCCACATCCTGGCATTGCTGAGGAATTTAGCCAAGCTCCAAGCAAAAGGTGAGCCTCTATGGCATCCTTAATGGGAGACCATATCCAACTGTGACTCTTCCTGGAGAAAGCCTTGGGATAGGTTATCGCAGTTTTCAGACAATACATCATTTCCTTGGGAAAACCACTTTGATCATTGCATAACTTTATTGTTTGAGCCTCAGCAGTCACCTGGGACATCCAAGTCCATTCTTCCCAGGAGGGAGACTGGGAGTATGTCCAGACATGGAGAATTTCTGGGAGAGCCTCGGAGAAGAAAGAGGGCTCCAGCTTTGTAGGTCTGTGTCATAACCCATCCTGTCCACCACTCCTGTTTGATCCCAGTGGATTTGTCCTCTTGGATTCATCCTCAGCAGCACTGTTTGGAATTAAGCACCCTTTGGGACATTTTTTCCATCTGCCTTGGTTTGAAAAGACAGGTGTCTGCTAAGGAAGGCAGGAGACTCCCCTGAAATGGAAAATGTAAACCCCCTCTCTCTGAATTGTTATAAATTTGAAATTAAGGGGGGGCTCTCAGGCAAAGATATGGGAGTAGGAATAATAGTCCTTTACTAGGGAAGAAAATAAAAATAAAATGAACAGTGCAGTAATACAAAACACTAACAGAGTCAGAATATGACCTGACACCCTGTTGGTCAGGATGGTGGCTGCAGTCCTCCTGGAGTGGCAGATGTGGTTCTGTTGAAGCAGTGATCCTGTAAGAAGGGTGTAGTTTTCCTCTGAGGATCCAGTAGTGGTGTAGATGGGCCTGGTCTTCCTCTGAGAATCCAGTGGGAAAAGCCCAACTGTGGTGTTCCAAATCTCAGATTATATCCAGGAAGGAATGCTTGGCTCCTCCCTCGGTGGAGCTTGTCACAATGGGATAATGTACTTTTATCAGCCATGCAGTGACGCTCACTGGCCCTTTAACAGAAGGTATCTCCTGGAGGGAGGATTGGTTGTGGAAGAGATTAAGGAAACTGCCCAATTAACAGGAGATAACTGCCCCACCTCTAACAAATGGTGATAGAATACACACCCCCAGCTACATCTTCCAACCTAAAACACCATGGAACCTCTCCATCCTGCCCTTCAAGTCTGTTGCACACAGAGGGAAAGCCCAAAACCCCATTATTTCCCCTCCTCTTCACTTTGCCTCCCCTTTTCCTGTGAGCTTTCAGCTATCAAGGCTTGGATGTGAATTAGGCAGAGCCCCCTGGAAGCTCAGTTCGATTAGAGCAGTGATGGAACCACCATGGATTCTCCCAAGGTTTGGTGTGAGGAGCTGCATCTTGGGCTGGGCTGGGATTTTGTGCTGTTATGGGGGTTGTTTCTGTTTGCCTTTTGGGCCACCTCAGAGAAAGAGCTGGAAGTCAAACTAACTAAAGGGGATCCCCAAATTCCTGTCCAGACCTTCAGAGGAGGCACAAATCCATGTGGAGCTGCAGAAAGTGGGAATAATTGAGACTCAGGACTCTGCACTTGATTCTTTTAATGTGTTTGGAGATGCAGGAAATGCCAAATCCCAAAGGAATTCTGTGTCTGTAACATGAAGTGCAACCTCTTTAAAGCCAAGTCCTCAGAGTGGGGTTTTCCCAAGGATAAATCCAGATGGGACATGGAAAAGCCTCTGTGAGGATTTCCAGCCTTGACTTCACAGCTTTTAGAAAAGCTTAGTAGCCAAACAATATCAAATTTCTTTCAGATTTGTATCAAATACGGTGTTTAAATCTGGGACTGCTCAATTCCCTGGATGCAGCCAAGCTGAGGCATTCTTGAGAATTCCAAGAGTTGCGTCCTTATGATTCTTAATACAATATTTAAATAGTTACTATCGAGTTGAGACAGTATCAAGTAGA